CAAAACAATGATCTTCAGGAGCAGCTGTTCTTTTCATAGATAAATATGGATTGGGCATCAAAGCAGCAATGACAGCCAAAGGAACTGGATAGGAAGACAGTGAAAACATGGAGAATGCTGGATTAATAAACCGAGTGATGAACAGAAATGGCAAGAAGCTGAAAGCTGAGATGGAGCAAAAATACGGAAGTAACAAAGGGAGATAAGTTGACATGATGACATGGTAGATTCATTTTCTGTTTGTTTACTAAAATAATACTTGGAGGTCTCAATCCTCGAAATTTTAAAGTGTTCTACAAATCCCATCAAAGTCTTTCAAGTGTTCATGTAGAAGATCATAATGTTGATTCTTTGGACTGTTTTGTTTATAGAAGTTGCGCAACTAAAATACTGTCAACTTTCCTGTCACAGAAATTCAGGCATGTTACTGACATGAACATATTTCTTACCTCAATATACCATTCAACACCTATGTTTCTCATTACCAGAGAAAGTCCCTTCACAAGTTTTTCCCACAGTCTTGTGATACTTCGGAATGAGAAGCACAGCTCATACACTCTATAATACCTGAAATGAATGTAGTACTGAAGAAGACAGGTTGAAGAAACCAGACTCGATTTCTTTGGATTAGGTAAAAGAAAACTAGGCAGAAGAACACAAGCTATATGAAAGGATAATATATGAGATTATGACAAGAAAATGGTGATTGTTCTACACATCCACTGGGAATAGAACATGGATACATCAATATTACTTGCAGAAATGAAAATAAGATTAAATGAGATGTTAGAAAAAAGATTTCTATCTGTAGCACTTGGGCCAACTATCTCCAGAGTGTCCTAACTTCCCTTCATCATAGGTTTTCGAGAAAATGTTTTTAGATGCTGTTTCAGCTTTGACTGCTGAACTAGAAGTTCTCTAGAAGCTCCCTCCAACCATGTACTTCTGTGTTTCCACAATATTTGTGTGTGCATTTTGGAACTAATATTTTTCAGTATTAGACTTACTTATACACAGGTTTCTACAAAGTAAATTTCCAGCAAAAGTTGGAAGTTAGTATTACTCAGAAACACAGTATATTTTTGTCCTTTCCAATGTGTGAGATAAAAGTTCAGTATGATATAGCCTTTTTTTCATTTACGTGTACATATACTACAAAAATACTACAGCTCTGATTTCAGATGCTATAAAAGGATGTGAAACATGTAATAATATCATTTTAACACCAAAAAATACATTTTCACCACAGGTTTTTGTAACAAGACTTGCCTATGCAATACATGGAACAATTTAAAAATCATTTTGATGCATTATGAATCACCTGTAAAAAAATAAATAAGTGAAGACATTCTCAATTTTGGTAAATATTTATAGAGCCAAACAATATGAAGTATATGCAACAATCAAATTTATAGTGAAAATGTGTGCAAGTAGGTTTATTTTGAAAGAAAAATTCCTACTCCCAGTGTCATACCCAATTAAATTCTCCAGGTAATGACCCCATTTGCATAGAGAGCTGAACCCACAAGTGGGAATTTTAATGGGCACACCACCTGAGTACATTAATTGAGAGTGACACTACTTGAACTAGTTTTGTGCTTACCCCACTGAAAATTCTACTCATATTATTTTTAATGTCAAGCTACAAGTCAAATTTCAAGATGATGGATTTGTTCTTTTTTAAGCATTGAATTTGAATAAAAGAAAGCTTTAATTCTGTTATGCACTGCATAGCTTTAACTAATCTGTAGTTCTGATTCTTACCATTGCTTCATTTTTTCAGTGATTGGAATTTAATTTTATTCATTAATTTGTGAATAATTAGATAGAAAATAATGCCTTCAGCAGCTAAATTGCTTTTGGATTGCTGTTTAATGTACTTGTACCAGAATATGTTACAGTAAAGCTGGCATAATAGTTTACCAAAATGTAATTGTGTAAATACGTCTAATTATTCCTTTTGAAGAAACATGGCTGAATATAAAATTTCAGTCATGGATACCTTAATTTTCTTAAACTTAACCCCATGAAAACTTTGTAGTTGCAAAGCAGATTACTGATGCAGAGACAGCAGTTGTCAACACTAGTGAAATCCTTGCACCATGTTTCCCTTTATCCTTCACATTCTACTTGTAATGACCTTGACGTTATTGTGGATTCTAAACTATTGCTGTAGTCTACATTAAATATATAATCATGGTGTCTCCTCCTCCCATGAAGAAACATACAAATGGAGTTGCATTTCCTAGGGAGGAAAGCAAACCCATGTTGTTGAATAATTTTTTTTTTCCAAATTGTTCTTATTGGTCTTCAGTAACTGAAAGGAGCACTGAATCTAAAAACTAGCAGATATATATGCCACTGGTGAAATGTATGAAACTAATGTACTGGTATTATTCTTGGAGTAGAACTATTTTGAAGATTGCCACTTTGCAAGACTCTGCAGAGTCCATCTTGACAGAACTTTTGATTCTTTATATCAATCAGCAAGACAGAATCAATACATTTTGAACTGCATATATGCAAATATAAACCACTGTTGAGCTACAGTTACTTAGATATATTCCAAAGTTCCAAAGATATCACTTCCACTAGCCTGTTCAACTAGGAGTTTTATATAGCAGTGAACACAGAAAAGATGAAGAAATAACTTACAATATAACATACGTCTTGGTATTGTCCTAGACCTCCATAATAAAACCCCTTTCTGTTGTCTTTGAACAATAAAGATTAAAAAAAAAAAAAAGCAACAAAAACAAACAAATCACCTTATGATAAAGCTAAAGAAACAAAGGTATCACTGTGGAAAAAGATTGTAATGTGAAACACAGGCAAGTTGAAGTACAGCATATTCACAGTGTGGTCACTTCGTGCAGCTTGGAGATGAGACAAATTGCAGAAGCCTACACCACTGATTGAAGAGGAATTGTATAGTGCTTGGGCACCAATTACATACCCTACTGAGATGATATAAAGAGCCTCAATTATAGTGGAGTATTTTGTCAGTTAAAATAGCATATGCATATCAGAATAAAAATTAGTAAAATAAGGTATAAAAGGTAGCATACAATCTTTCATCTAACATCCCATTTTTATGAATATTAAATGGTAATGTACTAACAATTGCTATAATATACATACATAAAGGAGGCAAGCAGGATTGTATGTAGTGTTTTACTAAATTAAGTGAGGTGAACTGATATACTAAAAAAATACAGAGATTAAGATCACCTACTCCAACTCAACATCTGCCTGTTTTGCTAATGGTAATTTAGAGAAATTTCTCTTTCCAACTATAGTGGAAATAGCCCATCATATCAAAGACTTCTAAAGAAAAGAAAGGCCTCTTATGTCACTAGCACCACATCAATGGTAAATAGCATAAGCAAGTGCTTATAAAGAGGTTCAATTTTGTACAAGCAATCAACTTCACATTTGAGTATACTGAGCAGAGTGAACAAGTGCATCATGGAAGTGGGTGCAGGGTATTATTTTTATTGAGCTTCTTTCAATATCCTGATGCTAAAATCAAGTTAAAGTCCCCCTGCTCTCTTTAGAAGTAGTAAGAATTGACAGAAGGGTTAGAAGGTTGGGAAAAAAGTAAGACTAATGCCTGTAGGATTCTAGAGCTACTATTGTCACCAATCAACACTACCTGAAGTCTTCCAACACATGGTGTACACACTCACATATAGACAAAGAGAGAGAGACAGACAAGATACCAGAGAGATATTTCTCTAATCTTTAATTTATTTTTGGGGCCGAGAGTAAGATTTCAGATATATGATTCATTCTATCATATATCTGTTGCCTTTCAGAAACTTACAAGACTGCTGACAAAAGCTTTACTCTGGAAATACATCAATACAATTAGCACTGCTCTCCGAGAATATACATCAAATATTGTGATCATTGAGACAATTTTTTAAAAACCTGTGAATAGCTCAGAAAATTTTCTCATTTAGAAGATTATAAAAATAATTATTCACTAATCTCAAGAAGCAGTTCTTAACATGAGTACTATGACTGAAATAGAGTCAATATTCAATCCTAAAGTTCCCAAATGTTCCTGATACTTCACAGAAGCCATTTGTTTCTAGAAACAACTATCTAGAATACTAGCTAAATACCTAGAATAAGTCTCAAATGATGCTATTTGTATATGCATTTATTAGTTCTCTTACACAATTCTTTTGGCCTCAATGGTCTCAATGGCAAGACTTCATGGTAGACATTCAAGCACAGTTTCTGTCAGTTTTAACATCTTACCTCTGCAACGTCCAGAAGAGACATATCAGGAGTTTTTAAGACCCTCTAAGGGCCTATGTATACACAGACATGGTAGAACATTCAATAAATTTAATATGGACATAGAAAAAATAGTGCTAATTACTGTAGACATGCAGTTTCTGCAGTTTTAAAGTATCATGAGCATGTTCACACTTAAGCCAACATGAAAATAAATCTTTGCTTAAATCACAGTTGAAATAGTCTATCTGTGTTTAAACTAATTGATTTTAAAAACATACCTTACTTTAAAATAGCGGTACTGTGTGTACGCCTTCGTTTCACAGACCACATAGGCCACTAGTCCTTAATATGTCTACTGCAATGCTACAAATCAACTACTTGTTCACCTTGTTTTTAGTAAACTGAAGACTGTTGCTGCATATGTATTAAAATAATTTTCATTTTGATCAAATTTAATGATTATTAGAATTTCGTGCCATTAACATAATTTCACTAAGGAATGAATTTCCCCTCTTAATGACAAACTTGTCTACTGCTGGAGATTCATTCTAACACAGCTTCTAGTGCCTGGGTTGGTTTAGCTCCACCTGTAAAAGAATTCACATGTACTGGCTCAACCCCTGTGCAAATCACCCCAAGGTCAAGGCCGTCAGGAAATGTACCAGAAAAATATGATAAATCAGACATGAAATTATCATTCAGCAAAGTAACAGGGCAAGAGTATAAAAGGAAGATATCCCAAAGTTTCAAAATAAAGATCTTTTATTTCAAAATAGTGTTTGAGAATAGCACATCCAGTTGATATAAAATACAAATAGCAAGTTACCATTTTTTCAAATGGGCCAGTTTGCAGAACTACATACAGAAACACTGTACAAATTCACAAGAACTATTATAAAATAGACAGTTGAGTTCTGATGTCTTAATTTTATTTAAACTATATTTTCACATTTAACTCCTTCTAATTCTGCATGTTTTAATTACACAAGGTGCTTACAAGATTGCCTATAGAGTGAAAATTACAAAACAGAATTTAAGAATATAAATATAGAAAGGAATTCCTTAAACTACATACTAATAGTCTCTGCTACAAAGATATATTTTACAAAAGTGCTAATATCTCTATGACAAACAGTAGCAGATTACATTTAAATGTAAAACAAATCACACAATTTTTAAATTTTTTTCAATTGTCTGTAATATATTGATACTTCTAATCACTATGAGGGTTAATAAACACTATTTTCACTTCCTAATATTTCACAAATCAAATGGGAAAAGATAGAATATATCTGCATATTTATGTGCATGTGTATGAGAGAGGGTCTGTACACATACACATATATGCATGAACAAAGTTCTTGTAATTATTAATTGTATTTTAACAGTACTGGAAGTAAATGCTTAATAGTAAATACATTTCCCAGGTTTTCACAATTTCAGTAAATCAAAAAAACCTCTGAGTTCCTATAAGTAGAAATAAGGGTCTGTGCAGAGCAAACTGTATAGATAAACTTTTATACAGAAAAAGGACTCCCTAGATTGGTATTTTCTTTTTTGTAAAACTATATCATCCTGTGGTAAAAGTAATTTTTACTAACATTCAGTGTTCCCACAAAGATTGATATGAAAATATGCAGTTTTCTGAGCACAAAACTGGAACTTCTCCAGCAGGGCATGGACATCGGGGTAGGACAAGAGACTGTAAGTCCTCTTCCCTGTCCCAACAACACAATCAGACAAGAAACAGCCATAATTCACCTCTCCGTGACCAAAAGAACATGAGGAAGAATATTTCATGGTGCTGCCTAGCCCCAGAGAGCATGTCCCCAACACCATGGTGTCAACCATAGACCTGCAATGGGTGAAGCACTATCTAGACTTTTTCCAAGGTGCATCAAGTCCCAGTGCTCACTGTGATGCCCCCAATTTCCCCAGAGGCATTATGCCTTACAAAGGCAAAATGCCTCCAGGCACTGCCACTCAACCAAGGCACCTCTTCCCCCTTCCCATTGTGGTTCAGACTTTTAGGAGTCATAATTGAGCCCCATGGGCCTGATTCTGAGCTCAGGGAATTTATCAATTTAACTATATGATTCCTTATTAGCCTGCCTATTACCATAATATCTTTGTGCTCTCTAGATAGAGCTAAACCAATGGAAAATTCTGACATTAATGGAAATGCACTTAAATGCATTTAGTTTATGCAACACAGATCTGAATCTGGCCCAATATATGGAAAAAAAAACCCCAAAACATGGTAAGAATCAATTCTTGTAGTAACTATCAAAAAACAGATAAGAAACCCTCTGAGTAAATCTGCATTGCATCAGAATAGACCACAATATTGCAGATGTTAAGGCAAAATGTCTAGTATAGTTGAGGATTTGGCTATGTTACCTTCAGTGATAACTTGCAGTAGTAGGCACTACTAGTCAGTGTTCACAGGGAGAAGCTTTAGTTAATATCAGACCATTTGTTGACAGCTTCACAATCCTGTGATCTTTAGCTTGTCACATTTGCATAAACTGAATTCACTACAGCGGAAAGAGACATTTATGGTCAATTCACTCAGAAGAAATATACAATTGGCTATTGATGACTCCTGTAACAAGGCTTAAATTTACAATATCCAACAATCTACAAATGGGAAATCTGGAAAGTAGGTAGGAAAGTTTGTTAGATCAAGATGTGTAGGTGGTTTACACAGAAAAGTTAATGAGCTACAGACATAAACTAGCAGATGGTAAAGAAAATGGGTACCATTATTCCTTAAATCTGGGAATTCCATAGACCTCTTTATGTGCTGGACCAAATTAATTTCACAATTACAATGACAGAGAGAGATATTTCTCAGAAAACCTTCATGGTATAATAGGAATAAAGTTGCCCACTGGATCCTAACTGTATTTTTCAAACATTTTAAATCCCAATCCCTTTATTTTTAAAGAAAAGCATAAATTTTTAAAATGTTCTTTCTTTACACAGTTATTTTAAAATAATGCTTAAAACGTATCTGAGACAAAATTTTTTTGCATTTGCTTTTTGCATTCAATGACAGAATTCCCTCAACAAGTGAGTTTTAATTTGGTTTTATATCCTGCTATCCTCTGTGGAAGTTTTTCACACTATGAAGAAATAAATATTATGTAAGTTATATGACAGTGGCTCTAAAGCCACGAATACTGACAGGTTTAGCTTCTTAACTTCTGATAATTTCACTTTTATAGACAAATTTTGAAGATTTGTAAGTCTCTTAGTCTAAGGATATATTTCATGTCTACACAAATTTCCAAAGTCTCTTTCTAAAACGAAGCATTTCAAGTAATATTAGTATTGCAATAAAATATAAGTTTTCTACTCTGTCTTGATTGATAACAAAATCTTGGTACTGTAGTCCATGGCAAAACTTAAACTGACTTTAGTTTGCCAAATCTTCCCATAGAATCAATACTGACAATGGAAAATACCAGGAATCTCTCTCACACCAATGAGATATTCAAAACAAAAGAACTATTGCCAATGCGACCACTGTAGCAAAACCAACAGTAGATTCCCAATGTTGATTTTTGAATGAAGTTTACAATAGAGCAAAGTTGCTTTCAAGCCAAAGAAAATGAAATAAAGAGATTTTGCTTTTCAGAATGCCTGTAAGGGCATGTTATGCATGGCAGAATTGAAATGTTTAAAATTAAAGTAGGTAAAGGCAAATACTTAAGGCTTTGTCCTGTAGTCTCTTCTCTGACCAAAACCTGTTACTCAGTTGAAATGGCAATTTTGCCCTCATATAGCCTGTGGTATCTGGCCTATAATTCGGTTTCAATAAAGTCTTCCATTTGCAAAGTCAAAAGGAAGCTGGAATGTAGCTTAAAATTCACATACAAAACTACACAATTTGTGTTAGAATACAGATCTGAGGATTGCTTTTTTTTAAAAAAAATTATATAGAGAGAATTAACAGTGCAATACCAGTTGGTTGTATGAAAATCCTACCTTGTCCTTCTTCAAATGTATTTAAAGAAAATCTCTCCAGTTTTATTAAAAAGGGATAAATATTTCATGATGGGAAGCAGATCCCACAGCATTCCATGCAGATCTCCAAGCAATCTGAAGATTCACAACATGCGTCCATTATGCCACAGTCCATATCACACGGGCAGTTACAATCATCCCCCATCTCATCCCCACAGCAACAGCAGCAGGCCTCCGATGTGCAGATGCCACAGGATGCTTGTCCCAAAACAATGTTACAGAGGGTGAGAAATTCACAGAACAAGCAAGCCAGGATACAGTGAACACAGCAATCTTCATACATACCAGTTCAGTAGCACGTCATGTATGAACAAACAAAACAAACAAAAAAAGAAGAAAGAAGAAATAATTAGTACGTTATTCTAAATATATCACATTGTTAAATAAGTAGCTGAAAGACAATGATTCAGAATAGACATAATCTAACACCATAAAGAACATGTTTCCCATTTTCACGGTCATTTTTGCAGCCTAACTTGTCTCCAGTTCGGTATTGGTTTTTGTGCAAGTTTCCTTTCCCTACTTCATGCAAATGCCAAGTACTAAACATCTGCTTGGATCCACTTCTCCAGTAATTTATTATGTAAAATATCCGTATCTATTATCTTCAATTGTAACTTATTCCAGCAGGTCCACAAAGTCAATAAAAAATATAATTTAAAATCAGCTTATGAAAGCAACTATATAAAACTATTTCCAGTCTCTCCCAGTGCATCTTGCACTTCTGAATCTGTTTTGTTGACTTGCCAATTATGAAGAAAACTAAGGGAGTTGCCACATTTTTGCTTTCTTTATAGTTTTAGGCACACCTTAAAACAAGCATAACAGTAAGTTATATCCATATTTTCGACAATATATAACACATTCAGTCAAAACACAGGTTTTTCTATTGCTTTTCTACACAAATCTCTTGGCAAACCTTTTAGTCTCCTACTTAAATCTTCAACAGAGTTCATACCTACACCTGAACATCAATATTCATCTCCCATAAGTACTACTAAATTACATGAGATAATTGAGGTGTCCCACAGACTGCCTGCAAAAATATGGCACCCAAAGAGTAAATATATGGAATAACTTCAAACAGTTATTCCACAGCCACAGACATCTGAAGATTGGGAAAGTGTTCTGGGGAAAATATCCTGCACCATCTCATCCTTTCCCTGTCCCCACAGTTTATCACAGGTATCTCCTATGAGAGGCTGGTAGGAAAAACAAGACATTGAGCTATATGGGCAACTGGTTTGACCATCTACAGACATTATGTTCTTACAGTTCACAGGCTGGAAACGGTTATCACAGGGGAAAGCTCACCATTAATTGCAACAGTAATACATTGCTAAGCCTCCTAAACATATTTGTAAATGTAAAAGATGATGCAATAATTATGACAAGTATCTTGTTTGACTCAAAGTACCTAACATTGCAGAAACTTTTCAGGATAGTGTAGCATTGACTTTACATGAGCAAGCACAAACACTTACAGCAATGTAGCGACAGAGGTTCAGACCTGCAAATCTGTCCCAAGAAGCAAAGCAACTACCTGAGCTCTGAGCCCACTCTAAAACATCACACTGCTGGGGATTGATTTCTCCTACTTACTACACTAAAATCCAAACTTAGCTTCGTAATACCTGTACTGCACTGTGGTCATGATATGCATAATGAACGCTTAAGCTGAAAAGAAAAAAATGGAAATATCAGGAAAAACAAGAAGGGAAAAAAAAAAAACCCACCTCAGAAACTCCCTACTACTGTTCAGCAAGGCAAACTGGGAGGGAATCACAGGTAAGACTGAGCTGTTTTTAAAGGAAGATGTTACTTGTATTAAACGGCTGCTTTTCCCAAAGAAATACTATCGCTAAATAAATGACCTTCATAGAAAACCCAGAAGATATGTGAAATAAAGCTGGGAGTATCAGTTCACTGACGAGGACCAAAGCCAGACCAATAGCGATTAATTAGCTGGTTGTCATGGAGATGGTGTTTAAAATTGTTCAGGTACAATCTCCTTTCAGATTTTCTTTTAATATGGAAGAAAAAGATAAAGAAGCCAAGAGTTCTAAGAAGTGTTCATATTTGAGGAACCAAAGTTTTTATTATTTTGCATCTTTAAAACACAGCTGCAGGAACCTAATACCACAATAAATTTTGTCTTACAAATTTTTTTAAACAAAACACTGCAATAAAACTTTATGTGTATCAATATTGAAAATAAGATGCTCAAATAAATCTTCCCTGCATCATGCAGGGAGAGAAATAATAATTCACAGAAATTATAGTGTACATATTTGTTGATGGGCAAGAGACAGGGCTCATAGGTTAAACAAAAGGGATGGCACTCAGAAAGCACTTTCTAGAGCCACAAGAACTTTTTTCCCCCTAATCTAAAAATATAATGAATCAATGCTTACAAGAAGAGGCTGTGTTGATTTAAAAAAAAAAATAAAAGGTGTTTCAAAGGTAAAAACTATCAAAAATGGTCCAAGTCATAGAAAGAAATTTTGGCCATTAGTGCTATGATGGAAACCCTGTCTTTCTTTCCATCTTTTTTTCATTAACTGAAATACTAAAAGGATTTATTTACCTACTGTTTATCTCCTTCTCTCAGGATGGCAAAACTCACCATTCAGAAAATCTTTATATAACTATTTTACTTAACCTACACAAACACTTAACATAGAGATACCTTTTACTGCTCCCTTCATTCTTGCAATGACTCATTTGTACAATGAACATAAACTTTGATCCACATTTCAAGGACGAACCTGAAATAAAAATGCTTTTACATTCTTCCTGTTACTGACTTTTAATAGCTATCCAGGCAGCAATTATTTAACACCTGACAAAGCATGCTGCTACCTAGTCCTACCTAACTTGCTCTAATGTATTGCTCTAACTTGCTCTAAAGGTCTGTGATACATTTGGATAAAATGGGTGGAAGAATCATTTCTTCCATGTATGACTCCTACTTCTTAACTTCTTAGTTTCTTATCTACAGTTGTAATTATAAGGAAAAGGAAAAGATACAGTCACAGTGGGGTTTTTTTGTAATAACAAATCTACATGCTACACAAAACTCACACTCCCTTCTCTAGTACCCACATTCCTACAGCAACCTGTCAATTCCACAGGAAAAAAAAAAAAATATAGCTAAAACCCACTTTCTTTGGTTGCTGTTGCAGGGTGTAATGATCAGTGGAATCCAGCTGTGAAGAAGATACTATATAAAACTCACTCCAAAAGAGATGACCTCAGGTTTTTCATTACCATGTTGGAGACCACTAAAATGCATTCATTGCTTCCACAAGACTCTCTACAAATTCTTTCCTGCTTCCAAGACCAAAAAGGCTATTTTAAATTACTGATTAGTTTAAATTTCAGAATTATTTTAACATGTTAAGAATAAAGACTAAACTTCCACACTTTGACCCTACCATATCAAGATCCTAATGGATTTTGCAGATGAGTGAGTAGTGGAATGCACTAATCCTGCTGGAACTAAATTTATTATTTGGGAAGAATTTGGGGAAAAAAGTAAACGTGATAATCTTAATGTCTGACAACATGTTTTCTGGAAACTCTGAATATATTTTAGTCTTTTCCGATAAAGAGATTATATAATAATATCAGTTATGACACTGTATTACAGTACAGAGATGCTAAATTAAAATGATCCATTTCTTTACATTCATTATTTTTGTTTGAGAATTAGATGTTTTCTCATTCTTCTTTTCCCATTAGATATACTAATGCAATTAAGAATTAGGGGTGTGCCTTTATCAAGGACCAAAGTCCATCTGCCTTGATGCTCATGATGCAGTACTGTTGATAAATAGTTAACTCCCAAGTTTCTTGGGATTTAAGTTTTCATCAAATACTTTCACAAAGAAAGATGAAATTAGTCTATGTCTCATTATATAAGCCCAACATTAATGAAGATAAGCTTTTCCTTAGGACTTCTACACTACACCACAACAGTCTCAAATTTCCATTGCTTTTCAATTCTTCTATTACACTTTTCTCTAATTAAATGAGAAATTATGCATTTACAAATGCAGCAGTAGACAAAAGTGAGGATGTTGGATATCCAACACTGTACAGAAGTAGACTTTATACCCCAAAAAAACCCCAAACAGTACATCTGCCTTAGTTCCTTTATGAAATGCATTTGACTTAACCAAAGCACAGTACCATGTTTGTTGACTATGACCCAAGCTCCCAAAAGCTATGCTGAATGGCATAAATTATGACAGTCTTGATTGATCTGTAGGCAGTTACAGTGTATTTTATCAGATCAATTCACAGTTGTGGAAAAAAGATGACATTTCAGACACCCAACCTCCTCTTCAATGATCCTTTCATTTTGCCTGGGGTGAAAGTTAGACCTGAATTTTAAAGGGTCATCCCATGCAGCATTTTTAAATACCGATGGAAGTCAAGCTGTTTCCTTAGTCCTTTGGCACATCCCCAAAAGTTACAGATTTGTTAGGGAACTTCATCAAAACTGTTAAACAATGCCAAGGCAAACAGAAACCCAACCAACTCATCCAAGTTTTTGCTGCTTATATCATACATACACATACAGCTACTTTGTGCTGATTTAACTATAAGTGTATACAGTATATGTATATATCTACTTTAACTGGGTTATAAATGTTAACACAGACAATATCCAGACAGAAATAGTCTAAAATCCCTTAAAACTGTTTACACACTGTTATTCAAAGCTCAGAAGGCCCCACTCTATACCTTATCCCACTTGTAACAGCTATGCTCATTTAAGGGAAAGAGCATCAAGAATAAAACAACTTTAATTTTTGTTCATGTCTTTAAACACTTGCATGTTCACACCACTTTTTATTTCTAAAACCTTTGCATACAGGTATTACCCTGATATCCAACTCCTTTTAAATACTGAAATATGTATTTATTTTATTTCAACTTCTCTTTTTATCACCTACTCTTTATTTTTATGAAAAGGTGCAGCTCTACTTAAGAAACAGACTTTTAAGGGAACTATCAACCATCAAAGCTGTGGAAGGGACGCAGAAGTTAAACTGAAAAATGTACAGAGAAACACACACACACAGGCTGATCTGTGATGTTTTTGTAATATTTGACACTAACACGTCACAAACTGACCCAATAAGCTTTCATACCAAACAGGCAGGTCACATATGATAAAAGGTTTTCATGTCTGCAATGGTAAATAAGCTCACTTACAGGATGGTGACCTTGGTCAGCTTCTTACTAACTATATTCACCGAGTT